CCCAGTCCCAAGACCCTGGGATCATGACCTGAGTCAAAGACAGATGCTTAACAGACTGAGCCACCCAGGCACCCCTGGCTTTTAATTCTTAATGGAGGATCTCACCTTGGAAGTTAGGGCAAAAAGGAATATGGTCTGTCAGGCAATTTAAAGACAAAAGCAGTCAGGATCTCAGAGCGGGGTTCCCTATTCTGTTACTGTGGCAAATGCCACAACTTCTTTGTATTTGTGGTTCCTGTTACAATATTCCCGGAGATAATGTTTCCTTTATTTATTCTCTAGCGTTCAACAAACATTTGTGAAGTACCACTTAGCCTTAGGTGGAACTAAAATTTTCTTTTAAAAATTACCTAATTTAAAACAATCACCCAATTTGCAACATTTTAAAATATTTAAAACTGTAACTTGCTGTGTCACAATGCCAGAGGCTAATCCACAATAAGAACACCTAGAAGAGAAATTACTGTAGGAATAGGCACTTTATGGTGAAATAGAAGAGTTGGGCTCTGTAGTTCCATTGATAAAGTGGCTTATTAATAGTACAGTGGTGGGGTGTTGGCTGGCTCAGTTGGCAGAGCATGTGACTCTTTATCTCAGGGTTGTGAGTTCAAGCCCCACTTTCCGTGTGGAGCATACTTAAAAAAAAAAAGAAAAGAAAAAATAGTACAGTGGCTGGCACCTCAAGGGTAGTCAGCCAAGTGGTTGTTGAATGAACAAAAGCAGACAGGGATTCATAGCTGAGTACCAGGCTCTTAGACCAGTGCCTGCCACGTTAAAAAAAAAAAAAAAAAAAAACTTTAAATACTTGTGGAATAATACATAACTTCATTCATTCATTCATTCATTCATTCATTTTGCAATCACTTATATTGTGATTTACATACAAATTTGACATGTAGATTCAGCATTAAAACCTCATCTGCTACTCTAGAGGGCAAGATTTGGTTCTAAGCCAATGCAGTGTAACTTTCCCACTGGAAGGACGGCTCCATGAGACAGAACTTTGTTGCAGTTAGTTGTTTCTTAATGTTTTTAGTAGAAATACATTATACAAATTCATGTTAACTTCCAGTAGTCTATTTAAAAAAAAAAACTTGCAAGAAAAACTTCGGCTATAGTAATAAGCATCTTTCATGCCACCATCCTGAGATATTTTAGCTCAGAATTCCCAGCCTATAAGACTGTTCTATGCTTGACGTCCATGTAGCTGGGCCAGCACCTATGATTATTTTTTTTTAAGTCCAACTTCTATGAGTTTCCTCAGTGTTAACCACAATCCAAGTGGCGGAGTATAAATTTAAAACAAACAACAACAGGGGCACCTGGGTGGCTCAGTCGTTAAGCGTCTGCCTTCGGCTCAGGTCATGATCCCCGGGTTCTGGGATCGAGCCCCGCATCGGGCTCCCTGCTCAGTGGGAAACCTGCTTCTCCCTCTCCCACTCCCCCTGCTTGTGCTCCCTCTCTCGCTGTGTCTCTCTCTGTCAAATAAATAAATAAAATCTTTAAAAAAAAACACAAACAACAACAAAAAAGATTGTGTTTCAGGATTGAAAGATAAATGTAATCTGAAATCAATATTTATGAAGTTGTGATTAATTGACTGATGGCCAAATGATTACAAAACGTCTGTCTGAAACATCTACTCAAATTTATTAGCTTTGACCAAAAAAATTAAAAAACAATCTGAACTGGGTCAATGAGAGAATAATGCATGCCTAATCAATTTTTAATAGCACTTAAGATTTTATATTTTTTTAAACTTGCTTTTAAATAATTTATCATAAAAATGAATCTGATTTAAACAAGGGGTAAAAGGTGTTCCATAGCTATTTGATGGTTTTCTTAGCAAAGAAATTCAATTATGACTGACTTTTTATTACCGAACTCCTTTATTAATAATAATACATCTTGCACTTACACAAAGGCAACAGGCCAACAATCTTAGAGAATCCAAGTAAGATCTAGGATTTAGCTCCAAATCTACCATTTTCTGGTGGTTTACCTTCAACGTCTTCATCTGTGAAAGGAGAGACCTGCATAAAAACCTGTAAGATTCCTTCTAGTTCTAAAAGTTTATAGTTCTAAGAATTTAGGGGGGTTTAACCCATTCCAGGTGCTATATCTGATGGTACCCCTCAGGTCACAGGACTCTCCATAAGGCTACTAAGAAGCCAAGACACAGATTAAGCACAAAGTCAAGGAGCCATATAATCTTTGTTTTCCTATTAGAGTAATAGCAACATTATTTAACAATTTTGGCCAAATGACATCTGTTTAGAACGTGATTTGTCAACAAAAAGAAATGTTGTTCATAGAGCAGAGGGAAAGGATAGTTCTTGGCCTTAAACCATTTGTATTATTAAAAGTGATGCCTGGGAATTGGTCTGGAATCAGTTTGGACCTAGAGATAGTCCTTATCAGCCCATATTGCTAACAATATTATTTAGATGTGTGTGTGTGTGCGTGTGTGTGCACGCCTATTCACAAGCATTAGTAAACAAAGCAGGTATATTTTGGTATGATCCTTTTGTGCTTATGCACAAATATATGAATGAAACTGTTTGTAAGGATATGCTTTAGAATTTAATAGTGATTACCACACAGGATAGGAAGATGAGGCATAAGTACAGAGGAACTTTTGCTTATTATTTTATATATTTATAAATGGCTTAATTTTCTTAAGACAAGCCTTATTATTTTTATAATTAGCAAAAAAGCAACACAGTCTTCCATTTTGCAGTGAAAAACAAGTAAAGGCAATGTTTAAAACAGCCCAAGTCTGTAGCTAAAGAAAATATTACCTTTTGTGGAATAGTCACCTAGTACCAGATACTAGAGATAAATCAAGACACAATCTTCGACCTCAAAAACGGTCTGTTGTGGGGGCAAACACATAAACAACCAACTATAATACGATGTGATCAGCACAGAAATAACTATATGGACAAACTACAACAACAGCACGAAGGAGCTGTGACAATGATAGTGAATGGGGAAAGAGAGGCTGGGAATACTCTAGATTTTAACATTCTACTTAAAATGTACATTACAATTTTTTAAACTCACTTTGTGACTATTAACACCAATCACCAAGGTGATTAACAAGAAATGAATCTTCTCCATTAACAACGGAAAAGAATTTTTTTAAAAATTGTCTTCAACATGTCTCCCTGCTGCACTGTTTCCAGGGATGGATGTGAGAGGCAGAACATTCTCAGTCCTACATCCTACTCAGAGGGTGGCAATGACAGGTCCTAACATACCATCTTAGGTATCAGTGAGATGAGAACAGGGAATGGACAAGGTGAGAGTAGGGAAGAACACTGCAGGATGAGGAAAAGGTGAAACTTGAATGACAGTGGGTAATAAATGACCTGGAGATTTCTCATTCTGAAGTCTGAGATCTAGGGACAGGAAAGATATATTAGCAAAACATGTGAACTCCAAACCGCATAAAAATATTATTTCAAATAGCCAGAAAATAACCAAACCAGGTGACTTTATGCCAGGCATTTTGAAAAAGTGGCCATTAACCAAACAAGCGATGTGACTATTTTGCCTAATTCTCCAATTCCAAACAGATGATGGCCTCCAATTCCAAGGAAATGAAGTTTTCAGCTGTTTGGAAGAATTCTCACTGTTGTCTGTGAGGCGATTTTGAACTGGACTTGGGCTTCTTTAGGTGAATTACTGGCTGGTCCAGTCCCATTATTGTCTGTTTCTTTGAAACAGGATAGTAAGCATACATTGACCTCATTTAATACACACATGCACACGCACTTTACCAAAACTGAAGCTAAGAAGCAGAGAGGTCAAATAAATTGTCTGAAGCCAGTAGAGTAGGAAGTTGTCGGGGCAGGGAATGCTACCCTACGGGTACAGGTCCAGAACCCCTTTCCTTTGACCACGTGCTTCTCGTGATCATACTCTTTTTCCGAAAGATTACCAAAAGTCGTTCCATTGCTTTTGTTTCTAAAACTCCCTACTCACAAATGGTATTTGTTTGCATAAATTAATTACATTGGCTCTTTCTCACTTAAAGTTAGTTGCTGTTAAATTCCAAATCTGTTATATTCAAGATTCATGTAGGGACTTCTAGTTTTTCTTTTTCACTGGTAGAAAATGCTGACTTAGAACCTCACACACTGTCCTTCCGAGTTCTACAGCTCAATGATACATACCTTACCCAACACGCACCTGAAAGGAAGGCTTTAAACGCTTGTGCAAGTGCCTTCCGGGAGTGTGGACGCCTGGCACTATCTGCAGCTTTCTCACTGGTGGGTGTAAATCAGAGTCCGTGGCTCGGACCCTTAAGTCTCTGTTAGAAACCACAGAAGGGCCAACTAAAAGAATGTCTTCAGGGAAAGTTGCGATAAAATGTTAACCTGTCTCGGAAACAGACCAAAAGACAATCACTGTTGCTTTTAAGGGACATTACATCATTTCAGAATGGAAAAAGACCTGAGAGCGGCAGAAAGTTGTTTTGAAAAATTAAAATATATAGATAACATCTTTTCTCTTCCTGTTTTGACTGCGCCATGTGTTTGCAGACTGTGTAGGGTTTAATTTTTAGGCGGAAAACTCCCCCTCCACCCTCTGGGAAAGAGTAAGGCATTTAAAATCGCCTTCCCCATCTTCCTCTCGGCCCCGCACTTTTGCATTTAAACTTTCAGGATCCTCCATCAATGCCTGTAGTATACTGCCTTCCTTCTTATGCTCAAGGATCTTGCAGCTCCCCAACACAGGAATTTTTTTTTAAGGAAAGGAAGGAAGGAAGGAAGGAAGGAAGGAAGGAAGGAAGGAAGGAAGGAAGGAAGGAAGGAA